CATTCCCCGCCCCTACAGCCTAAAGGCCCGCAGACCCACTACATGGTATCACTGGCTCATCTGTCTCTGAAACAAGCCAGGGAAATGCCAAACAAACAGAGGACCAGTTTGGACTGTGAGGTTGCTGCCCTCCGCCCCCCACCCTCCAAACCCCGGCTCTGTGGCACCTCTGGACGTCTGGCCTTTAGCAGCTGTATCTGCACATGTTACCTACACTGCATCACATGCCTGTGGAATGTGTTGAGTTTTGCATGGGGTAGGGTCCCTTAAGCCATGGGCCTCAAGCTATTGCAGAACATGGGTCATGAGGGTGTCTGTCTCTAGATATTGGCAAGGAGCCCGGCAGCTTAGTGAGCTGCTCTGAGCTGTGAGCTGTGTGGTCAGCAGCTCAGGGCCACCAGTCTCTCTGTGGGAGAATGACGGGCTTCCTGTCCCCATAAGGATTTGCAGGTCTGCGCCCTCCTGTGGCATTGCCATGAGTCAGAAGCCACTTGGTGGCAGTGGCCAGAGGCCATTACAGAAGCAAGGTGGGACCAAATCCCCATCTGCCTTTCCTCCCTGTCAGTTTTTGGACAGACAGAACCAAGGCAGTTTGACTTTGTGGGCTTTACCGGAATTGCCCAACCATCAGACACTCATCTTGAAGGGGTTGGTGATTGTATTGATCCCAGAAGGTGTTCGGAGAGAGGAGCATATTGGAGAAAGCATTCCCCAGGAAGAAGGAGGGTTAGGCCTCGTCCAAAGGGGGCTGAGAGATAGGGGTTACTCAGTGATGATCTGTTGATACTGGAAACCCAGGTTTGGGGTGATGCCTGCTCTGACAACGTGGTCAGTGGGAAGAGAAGAGGGTGCTCAGACTTTGAGCATGCTCTCTTCTGCCTTCTTTCAGGTGGGAGGCCCAAACTCCATACCTTTCACTATACCTCTAGGGGACACCCTTAAAAGCTGGGACAAGTTTGATATCCAGACCTTAAAGAGAAAAAGACCGGTGATATTGTGCAACAAGGCTTGAGCTCAGTATAAATCAGGCCGTGGGAAGATGTGGGCTGGAAACAATCTAAGTGACGATACCACCGCACAGTTAGCTCTGATTTCCTCTAGGCAAGGACAGTGGACAGTGGTCCCTTATTTACAGGCCTTCAAGGCCCTGCAAGTGCTCCCCGATTGTGCAGAAAATTCTAAAACTGACTCTGCCTTCTGGCACATGTTGGCAAAAAATAAAGTAGAACCCAAGAGTGTAAAAGCTCATCTCTCCATGTGTGGCCTCAGGAGCCAATGGCTCCTGCTGCCCTAGAGCCAGTCCCTCCCAGTTCAGAGCCGTGTGTCCAGGTGGAAGGTGCAAGGTGGAAAGGCAGACAGGGCCGAAGCCCAAGACACTACCCAGGGCCGGGTGTCTTCGCCTCATTTCTTTATGAGAGCCCCAGACAGATGGCACAGTCAGGGTCCAAGCCTCACCCCACAGAGGACACACACATTGAAGATGAAGGAAGGGTGTTTATAGTTGCCCCAGCAAGTGTAGTCTGGGCTGGAGAAAGAAATGCTAACCTGGGCTGTTCTTGGGAAAACATACATCAATGTCATCTTTTAAGAGGCTTTTGCTATCTCCCAGTGTGAGGGTATTAAGGCAAAAACCTTGGCATGTGCCAACAAAATACATATTCAAAATGGTAATTCTCTGCCAGGGACAGAGGCAATTTCATATGTGGACACCCACTGGGATTATGGTTCAATAGAAGGGACATGGTCAAGGGACCACATGCTCTTTGTCTTTTACGAGGAAGGAAAAAAAAAATTCAACAGAAACCAATCAGTTACAGTAAACCAGCACCCCCTGAGCAAGGGCCTGAGTAAAATCCAACTGCCTTCTTAGCAAGGCTGCAGGAGGTGCTCGTTAAACACGCTGAGAGTCCCACAGGGTGCCGTCATTGTTAGGTGCCCTGAGCCAGCTCTGACCCAGAGCGGCCCTGTGTGAACAGAACTGAACACTGCCGGGTCCTGCACCCTCCTCCCGTGACTCCAGTGTTTGGGTCCATGGTTTCAGCCACTGTGTCAATCCATGACCTTGCAGGCCTTCCTCTTGTTCACCGTCCCTCTACTTTACTGAGCCTGGTGTCCTTCCCCAGGGGCGGGGCTTTCCTGTTGCATGTTCCAAGTATGTAAGACAAAGTCTCACCATCCTTGCCTCTAAGGAGCACTCCGGCCATACTCTACACAAGACAGGTCTGTTTGTCCTGCTGGCAGTGTGTCCTGCTTTCAATGTTCTTAGCCAGCACCACTATTCAAATGCACCAACTCTCCTTCGGTCGTCTGTATTCAAGCTCCACCTTTCACATGCCACAGGATAACACCCCACAGGACGGACAGTGTTAAAAGATGGGTTTATAACTCACCTTGCCCTGGACATCAGGAAGAAAATATGACCGTTAGGAATGAGCTCGGCGATTCCCATGGAGGAAACATGAAAAGCTGCTTCCTCAGTTCCCGACGATAGGAATCCAGAGGCGGGAGAGCTGGACGTCTTGGAGAAGGAGAAGTGTAGGAGAGAAGGCAGGCTCCGTTCCTGGCCCTCCTCCAGGGACAGTGGCCTCAAGGGTGCCTAAAGGAACACCCTGAAGAGCTCCGATTGGGACCTTGGAAGGGGGGTGTCCTGGGCTGAAGCATCCCACAGTCCGTGGCCCTGTGCCAGAGCTCAGCCATCGGAGGAGGGTCTGCCCCGAGAGCTGCTAGGACTCGGTTTGGCAGCCCGAAGCGGACACTGAGAGCAAGAATGGAATCCCCACACGCTGGGCCCTGTGCCAGAGGGCGGCACGGGACGAGCGATGACCCCGAGCGAGCGCTGTGGGGCCCTCGTTCAGGTCGGCCTTGGCCTGACGGGTCCCTTCGCTCTGGGGGTTTCCTGTTGACCACACCCATCGGTGAGACGGAGCCTGGGGTGACCCTAAAGGCACCGTCAGGTCTGTTCATTTCCCGGAGAGCCGACTTCTCCACGCTCACTTGCTTCACTCCTGTTACGTCCGTCCCCTTCCCTCCCTGACCAGGGAGAGACATTCTGAGTGAAGCAAGAACACTGAGCAATCCACTCCTGTCATGAGCTTCCCTGTCAAGAGAGCACCAAGTGAAAATTCACATAGGCACAAAAAGACCGCTTCGTACTCCGGTAGGGG